TTTAATTTAAGTACGTATATATAGTAGAAGTAGTAGTAGTACGTGTGTAGGTAGACGAAGAAGTAAAGTAAAGTAATATAGTCTTCTAACTTAACTTACGTAGTACTATCTCTCTCTCTCTCTCTCTCTCTCTCTCTCTCTCTCTCTCTCTCTCTCTCTCTCTCTCTCACACACACACACACACACACACACACACACACAAACAGACTAGAATGACAAGAAAAACAGAGGGTCATAAATATCATAGGAAGTGATAAACAATGACTTAACATGCGTCTTCTAAAGCTCATGTAGGTGACGTACCATGAAGTATAGGAATGGGAACAATGAGGATATTGGCAGCACTGTAAAAACATAGGAAGCGAACATTGTTAGTTAAGAATATCACTTGCCATTTGAAAACAAATAACTAATGCTTTATTTCAAAAGTGAAAACTTCTAACCAACCAAAAATAAATAAAAATTAGGGATTAAAAAGCATTCTAACATATTTATCTAACATATTGAAGGCAATCCCAGTGGCAGCCAGGTGAAGCCTTAGACACATCAAAAGCTATAGGCCACTGCTTCTCGTTTATGGAGTCATAACATGCTGGTAACTTCTAATAAAAAGAAAATGGTGATACAAAAATCTACTTAGATTACAGTTTTCTAGGAGCATTTACAACATAGTTTTCAGCAATTCATTGACTCATATGCATGCACATAAAGGCATACAAGACTTTAATTACCACTGAAATATGCAAAAAAAAAATAAAAATAAAAATAAAAATAAACCATAAATATGCATGAACAAAAAATAAAATAGATATATAAACACTTACCCTCAAATTGAGAGGTGGAAGGTGTCAAAAACAATATAATTTGAGAGACTCTTAAGTGAATAATGAAGCATTTAGGGCTGATATACAAGTTACTACAGGCCTAACAGATAAATTTTAAGCATATATTTTCTTTTATCATGGTCATTCTTTATCTCCATCCTTCTTTGTCATGTGAGGAATATGCTCATCATCTTTCATAATCTTATGCTCTTTTTAAAATATGTATAACACAATGATGCAATAGAAAAATACTTTTCCCCTGCTTAGAATCAAATAATCTGTGGTATTAGCTAGTGTTCAACATAAAAAAGAAGCAAGAATTTCTCTATATTAGAGTGCCACTAAATTGCACAAGGAAGTGTCGGATTTTCTTCTCATTGCATATAGAACACCAACCAATCCAATTAAGTACTAAGAATACAAGGTATCATCACACTTAAATGGTTTGCTGCTTCTTGTGAGGAGGAAAAAATAGGAACTATACTCGTAATACATGTACCACTGGAAGAGGAAAGAGCTAAGGGCAACATTGCCCATATTCTAACAAGCCCTCCCCCCAAGGTATAAGGTGGTTTATTATTCCAAATTTTTTAGCCTAAATTTTGAGCCTATCATTCCCAACTCTTTAGTAAAGATGCCTGCTATCAAATGTTATGTTAGGAAGATGGGGCGTATGGATATGTCATTCTTTAACCTTTTGTTGAATATGGTGGACACTTTAAATGGCATTACAAAGATAGGTAGTAGAATAAGCCATTCTTCAACCTTCTTTGAATATAGTGTGCACTGTAAATAGCATAACCATTTATGGTGAGAAAACAGTGATGAGCACAACATATCAACATCCGGGAAGGTAGTGACAACCAGGGATGAGGCTAGTGATAATACCTTTTCCAAGTCATCTCTTTAATACCCACTATTCTTATAACGACATCATGCTTACTCTTTCCAAGGCTTTGCATGTATTGTTTCACCATAAACCTCACTATTTTAGAAAATTATGTCATCCTTGTGTACTTAAGTTGCCAATAAATCTAACATAAGCACGTACATCGATTTCTTCTATATCAACAGATGTTGTCCAATTACACCCCTTCACTAGGAGAGTTCATGAACTACAAGAAACCATATTCAGTCATCCAATTCTTTAAGTCATCACAGCTTTCTGATCATTGTCGTAAAAACAAGCTGAATTGTCTGGTTGCAATTTCTCATAATACAACAATCAGGTTGCAATTTCTCACAAGCTCCAAATGATTGCAACGCTTCACTCTTTTATGCTTACCTTATTCAGTATTCAGGTTCATTTCCTCTGCATTTTCACCTGAGTTGTCATTGTAATAAAGACATTGACTCCCAATTTCCTATCAACCTTAATGAGCTAAAAAAACTCAATTAACCTAGTATAGAGAGGGATACATGTTAGTGAGAATTAATGCCTTAAACGTATGCCCAATCAAGAGGCTTATCATAAAACAGCTCTTGTAAACAGTTGTTAGAAAAAGAAGAGCTACATTTTTCATGAACTTAGATGATGCAATGCATAACAAATGCTCTAAAACATGCATCCAAATTTGGTTCCCAACTACAATTGCAATCCAATGTCTGCTTTATAATATTAAAATTTGAATCAATTCCATAAATACCGACACATAATCTTAATGCATATAAAAACTATATTGAAGTTCATCACTTCCTAAAGAGCATTAGCAGATAATGCATTCACTAGCTCAAATTTATATTATATGATGATCTTGCGTTCAAAGACAAATATAAATAAAATTAACACAATTGCAAATGGATTAAGTAATAGTAGTTTTACAATAAGCCTACTTACCATTACAAAGAACAATGACACCAATAGAAGTACATTCTTTCAAAGGAAAACCCTTTTGAAGTTCCTTGACTCGGTCTTGCTTACACCCCGGACAGTTCTCATAGTAAACTTTATCAGTCTTCAGAAGAGCTTCTCGATACTCAGCCATTAGAACCAAATCTTGAACAATTGAAGTGAAGATGAAAAAACCTATCCAAACACTAAATTCTTTTCAACAATCTTACTAACAGGATTTCAATTATCTAAACTAAACACATGTTAGTTAAATGCTCTTCCCATACTTAGTAAAAGAAAAGGTTTTTGAGAGTTCTTACACCATATTCTCCTATCTTTCTGTTTTTTTCTTTCTTTTATATACAATAAGGGATATACTTCGTTCGACATATATGAATCAAAATAATAAACAAAGAGAGAAGCCAAGAATCTCTACCTTCTTATAACAGAGATCGCTGAACTAAAAATACACTAGAAAACAAATTCATGAATAAATAAAAAAACCTATTTTCTCAATATATCATCACCGAGATAGTCTCAAACTATAAAGAAGAAATACGTTTTGTATAAACTGAATGCTCTTCTCCGACCTTATCAATAAATTAGGTATTTCTTTAGTAAAATAAATTGCATATTATTTTTCTCTTCTTGCTTTTCTTTTCTATATATCAATATCTGTATAAATAAATTAAAATCACAGCTTTATCAACAGGTTAACAAGTTTACCCGCTTGAGAATTTCAAAACAACCATAAATGTAATTCGTTTAAAAAAAAAAAAGGCCTTAATAAAATTAGAACTATGAAATAATTTCGAGTGCATTGAGGTATACACCACCAAAAAATTAACAAATAGGCTCTAGAAAAAGAGACAACAGAAACAGAAATGGAGAAGCCTTCGAATTACAAATTTCATAAAAATAAACAACGAAACCTAAAAATTACGTAGAATAATAAGGAAAATCCACTTGAAAATATTTTTAGTTTTTTCTCTTGTGAATTTAGAAAATATTCGAGCTTATATGCGTATAAAACATAGAACATTAAAAAAAAAAAAAAAACATTTGATTTGTAGCCATTTTTTACTTTTTACCGTCTTCAAAAATAAAAATTTCAAAAAGTGTCCCCTATAGATGCGCAAATTATGTCCTGAAATCGATCCAGATGCCTGTGCCGCTGCCGCCTATATAGCGTATAACTATACGCTTTTTCGTCTAAATATACGGAAGCCAGTGGCGTTTAAATTTTAAAAAATGAGAAAAGAAACAGAAACAGAAACAGAAAAATGAATAAATAAATAAAAGAAAAAAAAGGCATATAAGATGAAAAAAGTTTATATAAAACTGCAACCTTAAAATGTAGAATTACATATGCACCGCAAAAATCCTCAAAAGGAGTAATCCTTCCTCTTTAAAGACAGAATTTCATACCCGAATGCGCCAAAAATTTCGAAAAATAAAATGAAATAAAACATCAAATAATTCACAGAGAACTGATCCAGGAAAATTTAAAAAAACCAAAAATGGAATACACATAACAACAAAAAAAATGAAATAAAATTTATACAATTGTAAAATGGAAGGAGTGCACTGCAAAAACATACACTGTATAAAAACACAAAAATCTTTAAAAAATGATCAAAAGGGAACAGGACAATGGCTATAAATACCTCGAAATACTTATAAAATAAATAAATAATAACGTATAAAAACACAAAAAGCTTTAAAAAATGATCAAAAGGGCACAGGGCAATGGCTATAAATACCTCGAAATACTTATCAAAAACAAATAAATCCTCGAAACAAGATGCGTGTAAATATACTGCCCTAATACGATCCATATAAGATCAAGATATAATAACTCACCACCTCTGAGGTGTATGAACAAAATATATGGTTGATATACGATTCATACGCTTCGAGCTCTGCAACAAATATGAATCTGAATGTGTTCATATAAATAGAAACGCCCGCCAAAATTAAGTTTTTAATTAAGTGATTAATTATGGGGGATACAGCGGACACATAAGACGTTGGAATGAATTTAAAATGATGCTCATTATCGTATTACGTCTTATGAAGAGGGACACAAAAGAAATAAATGTTAGAGAGAGAAAGTAGAGAGAGAGAGAGGCGGTGACAAATTCTAACACCAGTGACTAAGGGGAGAGAGCAGAAGATAGTGAGAGCGACTTAACATTCAAAGAGAGAGAGAGAGAGAGAAGAGTTAAATTCGAGGAGAGAGAGAGAGAGAAGAGTTAAATTCGAGGAGAGAGAGAGAGAAGAGTTGAAATTCGAGGAGAGAGAGAGAGAAGAGTTAAAATTCGAGGAGAGAGAGAGGAGAGAGAAGTGATTGGAGAGGAAACGGGATGTCAGCGCTTCCGTCAGTCGGCGGCAAAAGCCAAAATGTTTTCTTGTACTAATTTTATAAGGGAAATTCAAAAGATTCTATACTCCCGCAGGAGTATTTGCCCATTTACTCCTTTTATGTAGTAAGGGTGCCGTTGGGACGCGGTTTCATGAGTGTGTAGAAATGAGTCACCTCTTAAAAAAAAAAAATTTGAGATAGATTTTTGGATTTAATTTTCAAATACATGTAATCTTTAACATGGAGATCATGAATACAAATAAATAAATAATTTTGAAAAAAATATATATATAATAAGACCATTTATTTTTAATACAAAATAGTCACAATAATCTTGACTATGGGATGTCAAGTTGAGTGGTTGTAATTATTACATTGGCCAAACTCAAACTTCAAAAAGAACTTCGCGACACATCCAAGCTATTGAATTTCACGTTAAATGATTGTAAAGAATTGTGACCACTCTATATCAAAGGTATATGGTTTCATTGTATATAATCCCTTTTAAAAATTAAAAAAAAATTTTTTACTAAGAAAGTATTTGAATTTTAGTTTCAATTGTTTTTAGATAGACTACATATTTGCATCCACCTTTAAGATTGATGCTTTATACGTCGTAGACTACTGCAAATATAGAAATGTGGTCCCCATTGCATGAAACATTTTTCTTTATGTAAAAACCTAATGTAAGAGTAGTTTTAGGATTTTAAATTATGGAGTTGTAATCTCTTCAACCTATACATTTAATCTCAATAAAAAAATTTCAAATTGAATTTTCTATGTACTAAAAAAAATAAAGAAAAGTATATAACGAGACCGTTTATTTTTACTAGCAATAGATTATGTGTTGCACATTTTAACTTACGTATTATTTGTTTAGCTAAAAATGATATATAGTTAAAAATTATAATTGTAAAGGAAGTGCATTAGGGCTCGAGTGGTTAGTTGTTGACATTTAGCAAACCTACATCTCAAGTCTGATGCCTACCTTTGAGCCACCCAAAAAAAAAATAAAAATTGTTGTTATAGAGATATTCATAGTTTTTTTTTTATTATTATTGAAAATCTTGCCTTTTGGACTTATTTTCATATTTGGAAATCTTATTTCCTAACTCTTTTTAATGGGGAGGTAACCACATTAATAGTATATTTTGTCACCCTAAATTTAGTGGGCCACCTATCCTATTCTGTCTGTTTCATTTCTCTTCCAAATGAACATCACATGCCCGACCCTTAACTATGGTTTAATAAATATATAATAGATAACTAGGCATCAAAACATTTTATTTGAAAAAGTGAGAAAATTTATTCACTTATAAGTAATTGTTTTTAAAAAGCAAAATAAGTTTTCATAACCAAAAGTGGTTTATAAAAGCATGACTTTATATTGTGATTATGTGCATTTTTTTTATGGAAAAAATTTATATAGAGCCGAGGCTCTAAACAATCAAATAAGAGCCTACCTCAAAAATTTCACTAAAAGAGGTTGTTTTGATGCCTAAATATCCTCGAATTGATCATCTCAACATCAAGATGCATGGACACGAGAGAAAAATGGATTTCAAGTTTTAGAAATAGTGTATTTTGTAACGCATTTTTGGACCGTCAATTTTTAAGATTTTCAAGTTCTTATGGATCTGTCGATCTACACTATTTTTGAAGCTTTTAAAATTTATAAATAAAGATGAAAAAATATTTTAAAGCTATCACAAGGATTTCTGATATTGAAACAACATTTCTCGAAACAATTTATGGTAGGCTTCAATTTGATTGTTAAGAGCCTAGGCTCTATACAAACTGCACCCTCTTTTTATTATTAATGCCAAATTATAAAAATTTGAAACGGTTCCTAGGAGCCAAGTTATTTATCACATATGGTCAGCATAACACCCTAACCATGAGGTTAACATTGCGTAGTGTACCCTATCTAAGAGTAATTTTAGGACCATTTAAAGCTAGGTTAAAAAAAGGAAAATTTCGTACAAAACCCTAATTCTCTATTTTATTTAATAGTAGACTCTCCTTCCATTTATTTTTCATGCGGCATAAAAGAATCCTTAAGGATTTCAACCTACCCGCTCATCTCTTATCTCTCTCATTTAATCACTTTTGACTATAAAAATTAGCCCCAACAGACATTTTTATACCATTTCAACCCAATATGAGTGGGAGATAAGGAGCCCTCAACGTGGCATTGAAGGACTGTAAAGGCAAAAAATATAATAAAAAAATATTTTTGAAACGTTCTTGGGTTAAAAGATATAATGGGGTGGATTAAAAAAGTTTTTGGGTTAAAAAGTTTTTGAAAAATTTTTTGGTTGAAATTGTATAAAAAAGTTTGTTGGGGCTAATTTTTATGGTCAAAAGTGTTGGAAATAAGGCATATAAAGCCATTTTTCTCCTGAAAATTCATTTTTTAATAATGGTACAAAAGCCATATTGAAGTATATGTAAAATCCTATGCAGTTAACTGAGGCAATGCCATATATATTGGTCCATTTTTTAGCTTTAATATGATGTATTACTGGAGGAAAAAACTCAGTATCACTAGAGGCAAAACCCAGATGTGTGTTTGGATTCCTTGTAAATTGTGGGAATGCTTAGATTATATGAGTCATTAGTGGACTAATGACAGGTTTAAGGTTTAACTCATTACATAGGATTAACAGTTTGGTGACAACTTGTTAATCCTAATTAGCTTTACTTAAAGGAATTAAGGCAAGAGTTACACTTGGATCTCAACTCCTATAGATCATAAATGTGAGAGTTACTAAATATAGATGTTCTCTATAAAATGAAGTTAATCCCTCTAGAAAATCAAGAGAGAATGATAGAAAAGAGATGAATGAGATTCACCAAGAGGACTCTCAAGGTAGCATGTCACCAGATGGCTTGGTCTATAGGATTTGGTACGGAATCTTAAATTCCTCGTGTGATTGAAGGACATATTCGAGTAAGTTATTTATCGATTTTAATTTTATTTATTTATTATTATTTTTATTGGGACTCACAATGGTATCAAAGCAAGGTTGTAGATTTATGTTTGTAAAAGATGATAACCTTGTAGAAAACATGTCTACATTAATAATGTGGGGTGCGTCCTAACAACAGTTAAATTATGTTTTATAGATACGAGCTACTAGATGTATTTTTATCCAATGCATTATCTGTGGTTTTTTTCACATTATTTTGACTTACCTTAAAAAACCCATGATTGAACGACTGTTAAAGATATCATACAATATTTATATAGATTTATTTTCTATTTGATTATTCTTGTATAAATTAGAAATAGACTTATGTGTGAACTTATGATTATGCAGACTGCTTAATAGCTAAGTGGGAATTGAGTTCTTGACTTTGAACTACCAATCTTAAAATCATTTCCATAAAACAAAGGCAGCTATTTATGCTAGGGAACAATGCTTGCAGTCAATACATTTTTTAGGACCTTATGCCCTGGTAATTCTAGTTCTAAAGCCTAGTCTTTATTACTTTTCAATGTTATCCAATTGTTCATATATATATATATAAAAGCATGCAACTCACATTAACAATTCCTTCTCTCTTACCTATTAGAAAAAGAAAAAGGAATCTATTATTTCTTCTATAAGGGTCCTTTGGTTATTCCACTCATGTATGAGTAGTAAAGGATGCCAATAATATAAATCAAGTGTCGGGCACAATAATCCTTCCTGCCTATCATCTTTACATGCCTTTAGAGTATTTTATAAATTGGATTTTTTAAGAATATTATGATGATTAATTTACCCAAATTCTATTACAAAGCATTTGTGGTAAGGTCTTTATTGTCTTAAATTAAAATTTAGCATGTTTCAATTATAAAGCATTTGTGGTAAGTTCTTTTTTGCCTTAAATTAGAATTTGGTAGTTTTCAATTATAAAGCTTTTATGGTAAGTTCTTTACTGTCTTAAATTAAAATTTTGTAGGTTTCAATTATAAAGCATTTGTGGTAAGTTCTTTGTTGCTTTAAATTAGAATTTGGCATGTTTCAATTATAAAGTATTTGTGATAAGTTCTTTATTGCCTTAAATTAGAATTTGGGAGGTTTCAATTATAAAGCTTTTGTTGCAAGTTCTTTATTGTCTTAAATTAAAATTTGGCAGGTTTCAATTACAAAGCTTTTGTGGTAAGTTCTTTATTGCTTTAAATTATAATTTAGGATGTTTCAATTATAAAGCATCGGTGGTAAGCTCTTTATTGCCTTAAATTAGAATTTGACAAGTTTCAATTATAAAGCATTTGTGATAAGTTCTTTATTGCCCTCAATTAGAATTCAACAGGTTTCAATTACTAAGTTTTTGTGGGAAGTTTTTTATTGCCTTAAATTAGAAATTTGTGGGCATTCTATTTTATCTTAATAGTATGAAATGAATTCAAATCATTGTGCAGTCCTATTTTGAAATTTAAGTTTCTCTCTCTCTCTCTACCAAGGATAAGCAAGTCTCTATCTCTCACTCTTCATTATTTAAAAATAAATAAATTATAGAAAAAGCTTGGAAGATATTTCTATTTATTTCCAACATGGCCCTCTCACAATTGTACATATTATGATGAGACAAATATTGATTATCAATTTTATTTAAAGAGATACTTGATTTGAAAATTTTCATGGTGATTAATGATTATGAATATTTAAAGTTCAACAA